TTTCAATCTGGTATAGTTTACTTCGTCAAAAGTCAAGTGGTGGATACCTTATATCCAATAGCAAAATCAGCTACGCAAGCCGGCAAGACACTAAAGACACCAATTACGGGGAAGAAACTGCCGCCGCCGTTGCCATCACCACCACCGCCATTACCACCATCACCACCACCAGTAACTCCTGCAACACCTATAACACATGTAATAATACCAGCCCAAGGAGGAGCACCTAGGAACCAAATTAAGCCATGGCTAATGGCTTATGCTCTATTGTATAATTTATGTAAATTAATATTTCCCAAACTATAATAATAAACATGCACTACTTTGTTATATATTGATCATAAATATTCTCTCTTCATTCAAGTCAAGAGATAGTTCTAATGAATTAACCTGGACTTAATTAGGAATATGAACATATGCAAGTAATTAAACCTAAATTATTATAATTAATAACAGAATTCAATCAAATAGGGATCATAAAATAAAAAAAAAAAAAAAAAAAAAAAAACTAAACATAGGTGTACTGGAACTTAAAAGCAGAGATGAACACAAGAATTAATTTTAGAGGGGAGGCATGTGTGTTAATTGTTAATTTTTTGGACTGCATTTACGGTTTTAAATTAATACTCTTAAGTTATCTAATGAACTTAGAAATGTACATTTATGGAATCAAAATCAGCAAGAATATAACAGTCTGTTTTACCTCGTCAACATTCACTTCTATATATAGAGAACACAATTAATACTAAGTGAATATTTTTGTAGGTTTTGTGCTTGTTTTGTAGGTTTCATTTAGTAATGAAGAGGAATTTCTGTTTGGAAAGGTAAATTTTTAGATAGTGTTTTACTTACCATTGTTAAAAAATTTGTAGAAATATTGTCGTTTTTCTCTGGCTACTGCTACTCCACCACCACTGGTACGCCCACCCAAGGAAATTCCGCCATCACCAGTGAGCCCACCCAAGGCTAAACCTTCACCCCTGGTAAGCCGCCCATTACTACTCCAACACAAGTGAGCCCACCTAAGTATATACCAGCTCCACAAGTAAGCCCACCCAAGCCTGCACCACCACCACCAGTGAGCTAACCCAAGTCCACACCACCTCCACCAGTGAGCCCACCCAAGTCCAATCCACCTCCACCAGTGAGCCCACTGAAGACCACTCCACCGTCAGTCCACCTAAGACTATTCCACCAACAGTGGCTCACCACTACCTCTGGTAAGAACAAAGAAAGGCAACAACATATGTACACAATAAAAATACTTAGGAATACACTTAAAATCGTAACTTTTTTCAGTCTTTTGTTGACAATATATACTTCGATTAATTTCTATTACTTTAAAAGACCCATAATCCTCTTGTTTGTTAATTTTAAGTTCATAAATGAATCAATAAAGTGTTAGAAAAATGCAGGAACTAGATTTAGGTTTATGAAGCTTGAGTGAAAAGGTTTTGTAAAAGAAATTTAAATATATTTAATTTTAATTCATTATTAAATTATAACTGAAATTTATTACTAATATAGGCTTACTTAACAAATTAGTCAGACTTGAATAACAACACTCTTACTGGAATCAAGTCCCTAGTTAGTTTGAGTAGTTTTGATGTTACTTTGAAAATTAAGGAAAATGTTGTTAGTTATTGAAGTTAAAGGGGTGAAATGTTTTATGCCAAATATAGGGGTGACAGTGTGATTTATCCTATTTGGTATTCATATTTCTTCCATTTGATTAAGAGGGCTTAAATATCCAAATTGATTTTTTTTTTTTTAAATTCTTTTACTTTATTCTTATGAAGTTTTGTAAAATCAAAAAGTCTTTTGCATACCCACATCTTGATTAGTTGTTCACGCAGTAAGATGAATATGTCAATATATACAATCAAATAAAATATATTATATCATAACATATGATATAAACATGCCTCTTAATTAATCATCACATAGATAAAAGGTAAGTTATTAAGATCCTATATCGGGATTTCATGCTCATAAAGTGTGGTACATAAACTTAAGGGTTCTCTCACCTATCAAGTCAGTCTTTTAGGTTAGGCTTTCCCTTAGGTTTAAATTCTAATATTGGTACTTTTTGTTGAGAGCTGTATTATGAAAAAGGTTATCTATAGGTTAGATTAAGATGCAATGTGCTCTCCTTGGGAGGAGGTGTTACATCAAATAACTGATAGATGAATAAAGTCGTCGAAAAGGGGAAAAGGTTATTGTCAAGTCAGTGTACCAAAGATTTTCTTATTGTTGAGTAAATATAAACCTCCCCACACCATAGTTAGACATGTATTTAGTATTGGCAAAATTTTTGACTTAATTTTTTAATACCCCTTGTAAACCATTCGTCCTTAATAATTCAATGAAGAATAAGCGATGATAAGTTGACATTAAATATAATGTCTTTGAAGTTGTCTCTCATCATCATTGGGTTAACAAAAACGGTTCAGGTAGAGTGTCTAAAATTTAATCACACAACATCTCAACCAGTATCATATTATAACCTATAAGGTGCCTCTTGTGAGCTTTTCTTCTGCTCTTTTCTTTCTTTTTTATTTTCCTTTTTAAACTATATCTATATAAATTAATTTTTAAGAATACGTAGTACATAGTGCTGTTCATAAAACAAAAAATTTGTTTGCAGATTGTATTATTCAAACTGCCACCAGCATCTTTTAGCTTGATCTTTGATGGATGTGATCATTTAAATTACTTGTTTTCATCATCTATGGTCAAAGGTCTTTTCCAACTGGACCTGCTTGTGATATGGAATTGTAAGTTGATAGAAGAAGAAGAAGAAGAAGAAGAAGAAGAGACGATAGATAACATACTATTTCCTAAACTTGATAAGTCTCGCTAATCTTTGAAGACTCAGAAGATTCTACAATTCCACTGGAAGTGTGGATTAAGAATTGTCCTATTATGGAAACATTTATCTCCAATTCTGAATGTGGTGAGATGACATCAAGCCAGGAACCTAAGGAAATGAACTCTAAAGAGAACCTTCAACCTCTCTTTGATAAAATGGTGAAACGTTCTGCTTTTTGCTTTTTATATTTCTTTCCATATTTGTTCACGCCTCTTGTATAGATTTGTATTATCTTATTTATTTCTTTTGTTTATTAGTTATTATTGAAAGTATGATTGAAATTTTCAGGTAAGACTCAAGAGTTTGAAGGCATGTATGAATTGGAAAAAAATATGGGATGATCGTGTCTCTTTGGATTTCTTTTGTAAATTGAACATGTTTGCCGTATTTTCTTGTCAAAAACTTGTAAATGTTTTCCCATTCAATATGCCTTGGATACACCAAAAACTGGAAAATCTGATGATAATGAATTGTGATTCTAAGTGCATGAGAAAAGCTCTTGCATGGTGGAGGAAATTGTTGCCAAGGAGGACGCAGTCCCTAGGCTTGTGTTTTCCAAACTAACCAGTCTGACTATACATGCTACCAAATCTAAAAGGTTTATATGGAGGAACACATACTTCAGAATGGCCAGTTTTAAAAGAGTTGATATTAATAGGATGTGAGAAAGTGGAGATATTAGCTTCACAATTTCAAAGCTTCCCAGAAACTCACCTAAATCAACAACCTCTGTTAAGCATCCAGCACTGAATGGAAGCTGCCAATAACCTGCCAGAAAGCACAATCCTTAATTATCCTAACAGAGCTTCTTCGGATAATAGGACAGCAAAGTCGGTCTTAATTGGATCAATGGATGAAAGATTCACATTTTGTTCATAAACCATAAGATTACAGAAAATATTACAAGTAACTTTATGAATCTCTCAAAAGAATTATAATACTGTTTTGTTCAACATACAAGCATGATACTTAACTATGATTTCCCTTCCACCCATCCCCACCCAACCCACCCCCGAAACAAGTAAGGCATACTGCTACACTGTCAAATAGATGTTCGTTTACGAAAGTGTAAATGAAGAATTAAGAATCTGAATTTATTTATTCAGCCATATCACTGCAGCACTGTTACAGAAAAATGAGACTGTTATCCAGGATTATTCACATTCACTTCAGCCAGCAAATGCTATAAACCAGGGGAAAAAGCTAAACAATCACAAATCTATGAGGGTACAAGCTAGTTCACCAAAAATGGTCATAACAATATTTCATTTACGTAACTCTAGCAATCCAATATGATCAAAAGAAAAGGAAAACCAGTAGCTTAAATTATGTGGTGGTAGAGTATTCATGTAACCCGATGAAGGAAAAAGGTAAAGCACAACTATTAAAGACTTGAAAATTAATAACTAAACAGCTAGCAGAATGATGCTCACAAAAATTAATCACCTGAACAACTTCATCATTACGAGCACCACATTTTGGAGCTTGTTCCCTTGGAAATACATGTATACTAGCACCAGTAGCTCTCCTCATCTCAGAAATGATGTAGCCTCCTCTACCCAACAAATTGACAACCAATCTGCTGTGAGTGTACAAGAAGCCGAGCAACAACAGCATTACCAGGTTCAAATCCAATCTCAGCAATTCTAGAATGCCACACATTACCAGGTTCAAATCCAATCTCAGCAATTCTAGAATGCCACACGCATAACAGCATCCTGAGCAGGAGAGCGTCTCAGCTCGGAATTCTGCAACAGGTGAAACCATACAGAAAAATTAAGGAACACAAAATGATACTTTAGATTCAAAATGAAATATTATTACGTATTTCAATCATTTAAAATTTCAACAGTGATGACATGATTTTATATGAAAAGTTTTTGTTGCTCAAAGAAATCTAAGTTTGGTATAACATCATCTGGACTGCCTACATTGGAAATCTAAGTGTGATATGTTGGATGACAGATTAGATCCACAACTCCCAGTCACACCCACCAAAAATAATCCATAAACCACCAAATGAGAGTACAATAACGTCCTAGCTCCTCAAAAACTAAACCAATGAACAAAGTCATAACTAGAGGACAACAAAGAAACATATCATGCACGAAAGGTTTTGAAGACTTGATTGATGGCTTAATATTCTGACCATGACAAAATTCCCATTAATTTACCAGAAATTCAGCCCAAAGTTCCAAAAGTTTTTGCATTAGTAATCAAACACAAAAAGCTCCCTAGTTAGCAAAAATAAAAGAACATTGCAGCTCTCCACAGAGTACTGAAGGAGTAAAATTCAGAGACTGTTAAGTTCCCATGCCTTCGTGCAGATATCAAAACCACCCTCTCATCTGAATTGGGCACAATATCTGCAATCTTGATTGATGCACCAGTTTCATTTTGAAAAGTCCGAACTATTAATCACCTTTCCCTGTCAAACTGCCAACTTTGTCAAGATGGCACAACAGCTTAAAGACAACATCCTCTTCAAAATACATCCTGTTGTGTGCTCCAAGACTCTCAGGCCCTAGACCAGAAGAATAACCCCTTGAATGAAAACCAGGACCATAACCTCTCTGATGAAATGGCTCCACTGACGTGGGCATAGGATTTCCATGGTGCAGCATCCCTGGAGGTTTTGTTACATTAGTGTTGGCCGCATCTACTCTAGCTCTATCTTGAGCACAACTCGAAACAGACAAAAGTGTTTTCTTTACAGCTGAAAAGCTTCCTGTTATCTGCAAAACCAGATGTCCACATAACTATACTGTAACGGCTAGAATAATAACATTAGGAAATTCGAATACATAGAATTAAGTAACATGACAAATCATGCAAAACATAAAAATGTCAACGCAGCAAGTCCAATTAACGATTCTCTTTTTCCTTGTGAAGTCAATAACTAGCGGACATAAAAATGTCAACGCAGCAAGTCCAATTAACGATTCTCTTTTTCCTTGTGAAGTCAATAACTAGCGGTCATTCTACCATACGAGGAATCAACTAAGTAAAGGATTTATCATCAATTGTTGCTGAGAATCACCTCAAACCCATCCAAACATCCACCTTCTGTCAACATATGGAATTCCTATAAAACCTTCCTCCTAACACATGGCTGAAACTAACAAGTAACAAATTGAAATGTTCATATAACTCCACAAGTTAGGTGAAAACTATAGTTTCTTAGCTTCATTAAATTGCTATCCCTTCATACTCCTCTACCCATTATTCAATCCTATTATCTTTTCACTTCCTAAAACAACCGAAATTTCTCGATTTCTGACAAACCCCAATTTTTTTCCTTTTCAATATTTATTCAAATCCGTGACAAAATTCCTAACGTTTCATGTCCGCTGTAGCCTAAAACAAAGAAGCATTATTAGAACAAAGTTTTAAACCACTTCACCTGAACCAATTCATCAGAACCCGAACCCGGTATTTGATCTTCGGCAAAAACCCTAACTTGAGTACCACCTCCACTCTTACTCTCAATCTTTTCCACAACTTTACCAAACCCTCTTCCAACTATCATCTTACACGTCACTTCTTCCGCTTGTTCATTTTTCTCTCCGGCTTCGCCCTTCACCATTCTCTCATACACTCTCACCAGTGCCCTTTGCTCCGCGTCCATGACTCTTCTTCTTCTTCTTCTACTACTTCTCTGTTAACATTATAATGATCTTTATTGGTTGCGGGGTCTAAAGACTAAAGTTATTACGATTATGCAATCTTCACAAGAAGGGTCGTCAAGTACGCAGATTTTGGCTCCCGTTTTGAGACTGAAGGTGGCTGATGGTGGACTCCGATCTCCCGACTGCGGCGGACCGGACAAGCCGGAACTCGGTTAGGCCAATCTCCATTTGGGCTCTTAAGAATAAGAAAATATTTTAACATTTTTGTTTTGCCGATATTTTGTTAGAAAATGGGTTTTATATAATTTTCTCCTCAGGTTTCTTTGAATAAAATTTCTCTTTTAAGTATATAAAATAACATTAGTGTTTAATTTAATTTTTTACTTCACTAATAGCTAAAAATTAGAGAAATAAAACTGATCATCTTCTTCTCAAATAAATAAAATGATATCCTCAGATAAATATTCTAATTTTAAAAGTTTTATTCATGAATAATTTACATATATTTATAAGTTTTATTGTATTTTTATATAATTCTGTTTATGGGCACTTTCATAGTAAAATTTTTGGCAATTTTGGTGGAATGTATAATTCCCATTTTATTTTAGTTTTAATAGTGATAAATATTAAATACAAATCTAATTAAGTGTAATCAATGAGTATTTCTATGATTGAATTTGGCTTAAGTTTGGTTAAAAAACTTGTGATTGGACTATTGTGAGGGGTGTGAGAGTATGTTGTAACATTTGTTTTTCGTCATACACGAAGGCAATTTGGCCGTACCGCGTATATTATTATAGGCAATTTGGCAGAACCACGTATATTATTGTATTGATTGTGTGCTTGTTCTATTATTAACTTTTCTACATTGCTAATTATTTGTAATCTTAAGGTAGGACATAAATTATTCGAACTTGGGATTCTTGATTAACTTCCGCACACATGTTCTTACACCAAAAGTCTTTTTTCCCAGGAGGCCACAATAGAGCTCAAGAGAATACTCTGTCTGCACCAACTTTGTTTCTTAATTCCTACAAAAACCTATATTGTCCACCACATATATGAATATTGACCACATCATTACAACACAATAAGGATGTGCCAGAATGTAAATTATCTGGTAATCAAGAAACATATGGAAAATCAAACAACAGCTTCATTCTATACAAGCATTTAAAATACAGTAAGCACTTGAATCATAACAAAGGATAAACAGATTGCAGATAACAAATGATGAATTCAATCAACGAGCTTAGGTTGATTGGGATCACATTAAAGAGTAAGGATAGGATTTTCTTGTTCTCGCTAATTTGTTACTCATTGTCTACCAAATATATTGACTCTTTAATTTGATGAAATAATTATACATTGTCATAATTAAGCTGAAAAGTCATCAATTCCTTTTTTTCATGAATCTTTTTGATAAATTTATATTATTTTGTGTATAAAATTGTATTTATTGGGATGCTTTCTTTGACTATACATAATATTAAAAAATAACTTTACATGATTCTAACCAACTTATTCAAAGGGAATAATATATATTGTGGATACAAGCATAAGATGAATATTGAAAACTAGCATATCAGAATCAAATCAACAAAGAAATCTATAAATATTCTTATCATATTGTTTCTGCTATGCGTACTTGGTTCCACATTCACCTAAAAAGTGAACTGTGAGAAAAAAGGAACAAAATCTTCATATTATAAGAATCTAAAAACAAAGCATATATACCTCCTTGCTTTCTCTTCTCCGTTTATAAAGCAGAAAGCAGAAAGCATATATACCTCCTCCTTTCTCTTCTCCGTTTATAAAGTAGAAAACATATATACCTCCTCCCTTTCTATTTTCCACTTATAAAGCAGAAAGCATATATACCTCCTCCCTTTCTCTTTTCCGTTTGTTTTGACGCTTAATATCTTTTACATGCAAGAAGTGAGATTTGATTTAAAGAATTATGTAAGTGTAGTAGGCACATACAATATCTGATTTAAAGAATTTAAAGGAACATTTAGAAGTGTAACTCAACAAAAGGGTTAGTTTAATTCTTCAAATTAAGATGATGTTCAGTCTCACTCTCACATATTCAACCCAGAATTCAAGGGCTTCTCTTGCTAAAAAATATATAAAATACCATGTCAATGAAAGCATCTTTCAGTTTAGAACCAAAGTTATAACAAAAGAAATAAGAATTGTCATGTAAAACTCGTTGATACAGCATTATAACAACAATATGACCCAAACTTATGCAGTGCAAAAACAAACTCCTACACCAAAAGTCCTTTTTCCCAGGAGGCCACAACAGAGCTCAAGAAAACAGTCTGTCTGCACCAACTCTGTTTCTAAATTCCTACAAAAATCTATGTTGTCCACCACATATACAAATATTGACCACATCATAACACCACAATCTCTCCATTCTTGGCACATGGCATTCTCCTTGCAGTACATATATTTGTAACTCGACACATGGCCTACCGAAAAGGCAGCACTATGAAAATCCCAAATTAGTACACAAGCCATTAACCTTGAAGTTTAACTAGGCGTCACTCATGAACAAATTGCAGATGACAAAGTATGAACTCAATCAACAAGCTTAGGTTGATTGAGATCACATTAAAGAGGAAGGACATGCATGATTGGTTCTTTAAATTTTGCTTTGTGGTTCTTCGTCTATTAGGGCTCCAAGGAAGTGTGGCCATCTCATACAAAATGTTAAAAAATAAGAATTCTGGTGATACTTTACATGATCATAACCAACTTCCTCAAAGGGAATAATATATATATTGTGGATACAAGCATAAGATAAAGTTTTGGAGTATAAGAATTATTAAAGTTTTGGTCTTCCTTTCCTTCCTTGGAAGCAACCATATCCCTTTACAGATAATTCTTGGAGTTTGTTTACAGAAAGCATATATACCTCCTCCGTTTCTCTTTTCCTTCTATAAAGCAGAAAGCATATATACCTCCTTCTTTTCTGTTTTTCGTTTATTTTGGCACTTAATATCTTTTACTGCTCCTCCTCTCCTGAGACTCACATAATTCATCTCTAACAACCAAGTCATCCATTTCTCACACCAAAACAATCCAAAAACTCTTAATTCTTCAAAAGATATTGAGTCCATTCCTCCTTAACTGGTACACTACTATTTCTTCACTCCGAATTTTATTTATTATTTTCTTTTATAAGTTGACGAGGCTCTTCTCTTATGCTTGCAAATTTTGTTTTTCTGTTTATAGTATTAATTAAAGATTACCATATTGTTTATTAATATTAATTTCTCATCTGCACATAATAATCATAAATCATTGCCATCGGAGATATCAAATTTCTGGTAGTGCATATAATTTCCAATACAACAAAACCAAAAACATTAGCAAACATCCCAGAGATTTGCATATAGCCCATGGAATGATTATAAATTATTTTCAGCTTGAAATTGATAGAAAGAAAAATAGTAGTAGAGGAGGTCACAAAAGAGCTCAAGAGAACACTCCATGTGCACCAACTCTACAAAAACCTATGATGTCCACCACATATACAAAGAAAGCCTCACTCATGAACGATTGCAAATAAAAAAGGATGAACTCAATGAACTCAATCAACAAGCTTAGGTTGACTGAGATCACAGTAATGTAAGGACATGATTATAACCAACTTATTCAAAGGGAATAATATATATTGTGGTTATAAGCATAAGATAAATATTGAAAACCAGTATTTCAGAATCAAATTAACTATGAAATCTGTCAATATTCTGATCATATTGTTTCTGCTATGTTCACTGATATTGTCTTCGTATTTAGTTTGGTTCCTCATTCACCTAAAAAGTGAACTGTGAAATCAAGAAACAAAAACTTCATCTTATAAGAATCTAAAAACAGAGCAAACAATTTTCGTATTGTTTTTTAAACTTGAGACTTGATTCTTTGATTAAATTTTTTACTTCAGTTTATTCATTGAATCTACTTTACTTTTTATTTCATCAATTGGTAGTTGTTTTCATACACAATTATTGCTCTCTCTCTCTCTCTCTCTAAACTATTTTGTCCATTTCTATTACTAAAGTTTTGGTCTTCCTTGCTGTTGTTGAATCATACACATTGCTTCTTCTTGGTTGTTTCTTCATGTGTTGGTGATTACTCTTTAAGACTCAACTTGATCTTCCTGCGTTTTCATGGAGCAAAGAATGAGTTGTTCATCTTATTATAACAAAGAATGAGTTGTAAGATTGTTAGAATTATGCGTTTGCAAAATGTTTTTCCAGTGATGTAAACATATATATCCTCTTTTGCTTTCAAGAATTCAAAGAAGTGTAAACAATAACAGTGAGTTTTTATATTTCCTACAATCAAAACAGAGCTTCTCTATTTCCATTCCCCTGTTTTCTGTCAAACTTTCATTTAACTTTCATCAGGTAAGAGGAATTTTGGTTTTCAAACGGATTTTTCTACTTTCTGTGTTGTTATATAATGGCTTTTTAAATTTTAAGTATATAATTATACTATCAAACTCATTGTGTTAAAGTAATCCTGCATTAGCTGAAAAGTTACTCGACCGTTGAATCCTCATAAACAACAATTCTCCAAAATCCATTCCTACGAGGCATTTTTGTCTTTATCAGTCTATCATTGCCGGCCAACCTGTATCAATCTTTGTTGCTTATTATTGCTTACAAAGAAGAGAAACAAACATTGAATCGACTCCATGAATACTTTGCTCTTACTCTCAGATTAAGCCATTAAGCTGCACTTGTTTTAAACTTCATTTCCCTTTAAATATTTTGTTTTAATCTATACTCTGTTACTTCAGTTCACTTCTTCTGCTTTACTCCTGCTTTTACTTTCAATTCCGTGTCATTTAATTAGAGTTATATTCATTTCCCATAAATTTACTTTAAAAAAAAAAAAAAAAAAAAAAAAAAAAAAAAAAAAAAAAAGATACTGTCCAGCACCATTCTCAACTTCTTTGATTCTGATAGCAGATATCTGTTGGGTTGAAGCCAAGATTCTGTTTACGGAGCTTTCCTTGTAAGTATTTTGCTTATTAACTCTGTTTCTTTATATCCAGTAGTATTCATAAATATGTGGCTTACTATAAGATTATTAGCAGTTGTTAGTGGGTGTACCAAAATTAGTGTTGCTGCCTCTTTCACTGGCTAGAAACAAGATTAATTAGTCAATTCAACTGTTGCATAGTTATCTATCCCACTTAAGTTTAAGTACAATCCATTGGACTTATACAAACCCG